CAGCCAATCATATGGCAGAAACTCAGTGCAATTAGGTATGTCGATTTGGGCAAAACGATCTGCTGAAATTCAAACCAAGCATCAGAATGGGGAAGAAGGCTGAATTAAGTGATTCTGAATGGGGCATGGATGTTGGTGCCAGACAGAGTGGCCTGAGTTTCAGAGAAGGTGATTTCCTGCACAACTACCTTTAATATTTACAGAGATCAGTCTGAAAAGGAGAAAATATCCGGTAAGCAGCAGTTCTGTGGGTGAAAATATGTTGTTGATGTCAGAAGAGAATGGCCAGATTGCTATAAACAGATAGGAAGGCAACAGTAACAGAAATACCACCTCTTGCTACCAGGATGTGTAGAAAAGAATCCCTGAATGCACAATAGCAAACACATGGCAGCAGCAGAAGACCATACTGGTGCAGCTGATCATAGGAAACCGAGACTGAATATCAAATGTGGACCACAGACGATTGGGCAATCACTGTCTGGTTTCATGAGTTTCAATTTCTCCTACAAAATTTGGATGATCAGAATATTTCATAAATGTGAAAGAATGAATCCATCCTGCCTTGTGTGAACAGCTCAGCCTAGTTGTGGTGTTGTAGTGGGGTGGAGGATATTTTCTTGACACACTTTGGGCAACAGCCTGAGTGTTGTTGCTAACCATATCTCTTTATGACTACACTGTACCCACCTTCAGCAGGATAACACCCCATGTCAAAGTTCAGATCATCTCAGTCTGGTTTCTTGATCATAATGCGCTCACTGTACTCTAATCGCATCCATGGTGAGCACATTTCAATCCGATTCAAAACCTTTGGTCTTGAGGTGACTGTTGCAGTGCGGTGCCATATAAATAAAAGTGGACATGCATCATGGCAGCCCACAAATCAGCAACTGTGTGATGCCATATCAAAATGGAACAAAATCTAAGGAATGTTTCCATCATCGTGTTGAATCTATGACATCAAAGAAAATAAGTATAACCTTGCAGCATGGTGTACCTAACAAAGTGGCTGTGTTTCTGCTAGTTGCATACAAGCATTGTATGCAACTAGCAGAAAGACTAACTCCCAGGTATTATTCAAAGCAGGGTTTTCTTTAGAGGAGTTATCATTTAAGGTATTTTTGTAACACCAAAGCTACAAGTGTATATATTATATTAGAAATATGTTCATTATTATTACAGCAGATTATATCAGTGAGAAAGCTGAAAAGATATTCATTGATAATTTATGGCAAAGAGGTGGGATTAAATAAGTGCACTTCTTCCTGCCCCTTTTCCATATGTAACTGACTCAGAACAGGTGAAGCGATATTGAAATTTATTTTTGCTTTATTTTGTTAGCATTTTTTTCTTTTCTTTGCTAAATGAACTTCTGTGTATTGTTTACATGATCAAAATAAATTGAACACAAACAAACATAATGGAATATCTTTGGATTTTGATTAAGAAAAAAAAAAAGAATCTTCAATTTTTTTTATTTAGAGATACAGGGAGTGCAGAATTATTAGGCAAGTTGTATTTTTCAGGAATAATTTTATTATTGAACAACAACCATGTTCTCAATGAACCCAAAAAACTCATTAATATCAAAGCTGAATGTTTGTGGAAGTAGTTTTTAGT